AAGTATATTAATTATGCGATATATTTTGGAAACAACATGCATGAAATATGAGATGTTTTACTTAAAACCTTGAATGCTCTGATCAACATGAATCAACTTTTTAGAATGGCTATTTAAGTGAATTAAACATTCTATCAACTCAGCCCAAGAATTTTATGCCTCAAATATGTTTGTGTGTGGAAATATACCTCAAGTATTTCAAATTTCAGCATATTATTAACTTAAAGTAAATTTATAGCTGAAAAATTTTTTATCTAATTTTACAGAAGATTTTAAAGAGATTTCATTAGCCTAGTTGTAAAATATTTGCTTTGAGTACTGTAAAATGATCTTAAAACTCTAGATAACACAGTTATATTTTTATGTAATTCCAAGTGTTTCCATTTCTTATTCTTTTTCAATTTTTTCTGTTTATTATTTTTTATTCATTAAGTTTATTGGCATATTTTAGGTATTCAATATGATGACATTCATCATTGGGAATTTGTACCTTTACATGATATATCTTGGTTCGTATTTTATTCCCCATTCCCCTGCCCTCCCTTCAAACTCTCCACCCCTCCCTATTCGCAAAGGCTTTGTTTCCATTTTTTCCTTTTCTCGTATTTATTCTTTATGCCTTAGTTGCTCCAGGATTACCAACATTTTGGTCAAAGACTACCTTGCCATTGATATTTATTAGTCTGAACACTCTGTCCTTATAATTAACTTATATTTCTGCTATTAAAAATAAACTCGTGTTGCATCTATATTCAAAAGGAATAAAAATACTCTTTGGAAATTTATACATTTGAAAATTACAATGAACTTTTCCTTTTCCTATGAAATAATATCTTGTCACTATAGAATATATTTCAAATTTATGGTGTGCTTTTTTTCTTTGGGAATTTAAAATAATTTAAATAATTTGGGCTTTGCCTGATTCCCCTACAACTGTAGAGTATGACTGATAACTGCCTTTAGAATTCCTAATAGCTAAATTACAATTATTATGCAAAGCGCTACAATAGACAGTTATATGGATTGTTAAATGACTTTGCCTTTTTTGCAAACTATAATCATTTTCCTTTATTAGCTGAAGGATTTTATAATTTAAGGAAGATGAGAAACCTATAAGTCACGGTTTCAAATAAGGAACATGGATATTGCAAACATTAAATTCCCCCATAAAAATGTTAAGGCATCATTAAACTAGGTTCAGATTAATACAATTCAGTCAACTCTAGATAGATATCTCCCATCATAAGCTGAAACAATACCTAGTGATCTAAGATGTAAAATATTTTACTACAGTCAATTTATAAACCTATAAAACATACAGGTATCATTCAAGCTCTTTATTAATAGCGCATGCCTTGTATTAAATCAAAACCATCTTCAAGACCCCTCCCCTCTGGCATCCCTTCCTCTGCTGTTGCCCCCCGTTATGTGTCCTCTCACTGAAGCTCATCCAAACTGAATAGCAGCATCTTTCTTTCCTAGAAGCACCACAGGCAATTTCCAGCCTAGTGATACAGCTTTTTTCTGAGATTTATGGACACATTGTCCATCCTGAAACTGCAACATTCTATGTGCTAATATTGATGAATTTGTTTTTCTGTAGGCAGATATTTTTTTGCTCACTTTTGGAACAATGCAATTTATTATTTTTAAAGTATTACAGGATTCTTTGCAACTGAATTATTTTCACAGGAAAATTTATCTTGGCAAATATTCATGTTCTAGACAACACTGCCTTTGGTTGGAGGATTTCCTTTTTTTCATTCACTCTGTTTTTCTCTGGTAAGAAAGCCAAACATCTCATATTGACTGAGTTGCTGAGAATTTTAGTGGATAATCGTGTCTGGTAATTTGGTTGTAATGCAGTAATTTCAACATAATGCTGATTTTTATTATGATTATAAATCTGTAATTGGGTCAGAACCATCTGGGTGTATCTGCTCCACCTGGAAAGGTAACCCCGTGCTTAGAACTTAGAACTTAGAATCATCTGAATCGTTGTTCATCTAAATGATGGTTGCGTGGTATGACCACTAATGCTCATGGTGTCTCCAACCTGATGGCCATAAGGCAGCTGTATTGCCATGTTGACTCCCAGCTTCCAAAACAGAGTCCCAAAGAGGGGGGAAAATCATAGGAGCTCCACCTACTTTTCTAACCAGCCTTTGTAAGTCATACATATTACTTCTGTTTTATTCAATTTGTTTAAAAGTCAATAAGACAGATCCATAAGCAAGGCTGGGAGGTAAGGGAATGGGGTTATAACAACCTTTTGATTTGAGGAGTAACAAAAATTTGTGTAGAGATGTATAAAACAGTTACATCAAAGGAAGAATTAACACAATACCTTTATCACTCTGAAAAATAATCAACTATTTCTCTTTTTTTCTTTTTTCTTTTTGTTTGATTTTTTGATTTTATGTGGTTGAGACTGCCTTGGAATTCACTATGTAGCCCAGGCTGGTCTCAAACTCAGAGCAATCCCCCTGCCTCAGCCTTCTGAGTGCTGGGATTATAGGCGTGTGCCACCATGCCAGGCAATCAACTATTTCTAAAGTTACTTCAAAGATATATTGAAAATGTAAATTCATATTCTTATTTCTGTATCCCAAAGACTCATTGTAACAAGATGTGTTTTCCCAGGTCATCTTGCTAAAAATATGAGTATAATGAATAAAAAGTAAAATTTATAGAAATAAAAGTAATATCCTTAATAGAGACATTTCGAACTCTCACTCATCATTGAGAGAATACATGAATGAAGTTATTAAAGAATTTAAATAACCATTTGAAAATTAGAATTCTCACACAGAGAGAAATATGTTATTTTGAAGGTAAATGAATCCAAAGGAATTTTAAATAACTGCAAAAATTATTCCAAAGAATGAAGACCAAATAAAAATAGACTACCCAGACAAACACAAACAAAAAGAAATACAATTGCTTGCACTAATTTACAGTGCACTTACATCTAAATATATATAATATCCATATAACAGATAAACAATGTATCTATTTATATAATCATATTGAGACACACAAATTAATAAACCCATATAAACTGTTGAACAAAAAAGTCCATCACTGAATTTGCTACGGTAACTTCACACAATAGTTTCTTTCTCATTAACATAGTAATGACTATCTCTAGTCTTTAAGAAAACTTCCTCACTTTAAGATATTAGCACCAGCGCAGAGAAGACAGCATCCTGTTATACTCTTTCCAGGAGGTAACAAGGCAGTACATTAACAGAAATGTGTTATCCAAATTGGCAGAAATTCAAGAAGCACACGTGGTTATCTTTCTTGTATGGTAGGAAATGTGACGTGTAGCACACTGAGGACTGCTTTTCCATTTGGTCAGAGTCTGTAAGAGGTAATACTAGAAGGTCAGTGACCAGCAGGTCCAAGGAAAAGGTATGTGGATGCCTCCCTCAGGTAAGTCATACTCACATCTTTGCGCATGGTATTAATGCAAATCAGAGAACAAAACCAAATATAAATCACTTTACGACCAGATGGACAGGATGACCTGATGTGTTTGTGAACTTTCCATCACTGCAAAATGCCCGAGATAAGCAATTTAGAGAAGGAAAGATTTTGTTTCTGTTTAAGGTTTCAGAGGGTTCAGTCCATAGTCAGATGGCTCTACTGTTTCTAAGCCAGTGCCACGGGAGAAACATAGTGGAAGATGCTGCTCATCTCACAGTATTCGGTAAGCAGTGAGAAAGAGAAAGACGCAGAGGGGAAAAGGTGAAGATCAGATACAGTTCCTGAGGACACACCCCTATGGTCCACTGCCTTTTGTTAGGTTTCACCTCCTGTTTCCATCGCTTCCCATTAATCCCATGGAATTATGATCTCATTAGTGGGCAACTAGGGATGTCAGGGCCCCCCCGATCCAATGATTTCTCCAGGACCCACCTCTGAATATTGCTTTATGGGAGACTAAGGATTTACAATAGGAGTCTTGATGGAGGGGTACTTCATGTTTAAACTGTGTGCCAGGCTAACAGATGCCAATCTGATTTCTTTTTCTTGGGCACCTCCATGCTTATGTAATAAAGCCATGATAACAGTGACTAGGGTGGCAGAAAGGGAAGCAGTGCACCGACCAGAAATACGAAGCTTTCCTCAACATGGCTGACAGAGTACATCACTTGTAAGCATCTCACCAGACAGCATCAGAAATGGACACCACTCCACATAGGGCACCCTGTTTTTGAGGCTAGGTGGGTGGAAATACAAAGAGCATGGTGAATCCAGACATCCAGACGCTGCTTCTCCAAGACTGTCTCCTGTATTGATATCAAGGACCACAGCGAAATGATAGCAGCCACTGAGGCACAGCAGAGCTGATCTACTCTCCACTCTGATTCACGGAGCACAGTCACTGCCACGCTGCTCAAAGGTTCCCTTATTGTGGGGAGTTCATGTCCATGCACGCTGCTATAGAGCCCACTTATCCACCATTTCCCGCCTCACTGCAGCCTGCCATTCTCCACTCAGACTTTTTTCCGTCTTGGTCCCCAGGTTCCTGTCTATGCATATTAACAAAGTATGTGCACCTCCTTGCTTGTATTCCCAGTGTGACTTGTCTGGGGCCTGTTATCAACCATTTGGCTAAAGCTGGGCTTACCGCTTCAACTTGAAAGACAGTTAAGTAGAAAAGCTCGGGCAGGTAGGCAGTCATACAGGGGTAATGTGGTCTAGGAGGTAGAGTGATGGCTTTGGAAGAAAATGGTAGTGAGTGTCATCTGATAAGGACCCAGATATTTATAAATAATAAAAAGAATTTGAGGGCAAAAAAGCCCTCCAGATTATATTTTTACCAACCAGTTTTTACTTTTTTCCCTATACTGTGTGTTTCTAAATAAACCAAAATAGACTAATCTTTTGATCTGGAAAGGTTCTTTTCTGTATAGTTAATTCTCTGTGAGGATTCCCCTTGTTGAGATAGCATAAAAGAAAAGACAGACCTTTTCATCATCAGACCAACTATAAAATATTTATTTACGGGCATGGAATATAAACTCTTAAGGCCTAATTCATATGTAAAAAATGGGCAATGTCATAGAACTCACTAGATTATTGAAAAGACATTTTTAAATGAATCCATTGTGTTTCTATTAAATAAATAATGTTCACAAATTTATAAGTTGCACCCTATAATGCATTAACCGTATGAATAGAATTACTCAGAAAACAAAGGTAGATACATTTTGGAACGGTAGTTTAATAAACATATGAGCAGACTTTACTTGGTACACTGTATAACAATCCACCAAGAGACTGCAGTGAGTGCTATTTTGTACTAAAAGTGAGAGATAACATGCGAAGCACAGTGAACCAGATACAATCAACAAAAAGGACAAACAGTACATTTAAAAATGCAGCTGTGGCTCGTGCTCATTTTTTAAATTTTTAATTTTTTTTTAATTTTAAAATTTATAGATAATTTTTTAAATTGCATACAAAAGCTAAATTTAATTATCATGTGACTATTTGAAACTCCTTGATAAAATAAATTCCCTAGGATTTTGGGTCCACTACACAGATTTCCTTCTCTTTCCAAATACGTTATTGATCAGTTTGGCTACTGATTTAGATCCACTGGATCTTCGCTTTTCTTTGAGTTTACAGTGTATCAGAATGTCTTTGATAATTCTGAGAAACATCATTTCTACCTCCACACACTGCTCTGCAGCAGACAGCTCACAGAACTGGCACCGGTTATCCAGGGCCAGCCTCTGCCCTTCTTCCCAGCCAACCTCGCGCACATGGCAGAGGTCCTGCTTGTTGCCAACCAAAAGCACTGCTGGTTCCAGGGCTCTGAAACACAGAGACACAACTTTTGGCAAGATCCTTTCAACAATTCTGCTTTTAGAAAAAAATCAGGAAGAATTATATCCAGTGGATTAGAAGCCAGAGAAGAAAAGCCTTTGAGCGTGTACATGTATTTATGGCTATGTATGTGGATATGGCCATATGTCCCTAATTACTTACAAAAATCATTTTAGAGAGAATGTAGGAAATAGCACAGAAGCAACAGAGATTTAAAGCTTTGGATTTGAAATAAAACACATATATTCTTGGATACTGATTTTGTTTACTAACCAGATATGACTCTTACCTTCCCAACTTTCAGTTTCTTTACTAAAAGCAAACAAACAAACAAAAACTAAATAAGGGCCAGAGATTTAGCTCAGTGGTTCCACCACCTGCCTTACAAGCACAAGGACCCACGTTCTATCCTCAGTACCAAAGCAAAAACAAAAAATAAAAACAACTACATAAGTCCTCATCACAGGGGAATTCTAAGAGGTTAAATGAAATAATGTGTATAGAAATATATAGTAAAGTCCTAGAAAGTGAAAGATGTTTACTATTATTCTTCATGTTCATTGTCATTTGTAAGAGGAAGATTAACATATGTCTTTTACAGTTAACTGTAATGGAGCAGTTAATTTAGATAGACTTTTATTAAGCAAAAATATTCCGTACTTATTGCTGGCTTTTTCTTTTCTGATATCCACTATAACATTCTATAGAGAAAATTTTAATCTTGTGAACTTGTACACCTTAAATTCTGTTTAAGAAAAAAAATTTTCTTTGTTAAGACAAGTGTCTTCGGCCAATACCAATGCAATCTCCCTAGTTCTAATGAAACAGTTCAAAACAGAGTTTGATTTGAAGAACATAATAAAACTACTAGCCTTTAAATAGCATGGAGCTGCCGTGATATTTATGATAGGGAAGAAATTAATAATCACAGAGTCTTTGATTCTTACTGACACCATATTCCACTCAAAGTTGCTTTCATTTATATGACAGTGTGGGCAGTGTTAATATCTTTTTCAGTCAAGTTCATGAAATTATTATAAAGGATAAATGAGACAGGAGGGATCAAAATACTTTGAAGGGTGAACCACAAATATCAGATATAATTTTTTAAAATATCATAGTGCATCCTTACAACCTTTCTACAAATTGAGAACTGGAAACCCCCTAGAACTTACTTAGTTAATAAATTAAGGAGATTGCTTTTTAAATGTCAAATACAAGTTATGTAGAGAATGTGTTTAAGTGTTTTTCAGTGGTTATCTCAATCTGAAAGAATATCAAGGAATTTCATTTCCATACCAAATATTTATCATACTGTTTACATATAAGAGATTTGAAGTTTAAAATAATAGAATTCTAACAAAAAATCAATAGTATTATAGAAAGTTGAGGCTATGAAAGAAACCTCAGGAATTTACATACTTTTCTTCTACCATACTTTCATCAGCTACATAATCAGAAAACAGAGCTCTAGACATTATATTGGTTTACCTAAGAAAATGTACACAAGAATGTACATCAACTAATTCCAGAGAAATATCCTTTATCAATTTTTAGCCTCTGGCTTCCTCATCATAGGAATGTAAATAGATATGAATATGCTTTTGCCACTTTGCACTAATAATATTGTGCTTTGTTTTTTCCTCTCCAGACTAGAATATTATTTTGGACTCTAAGAGGAAAACTGATTAAGAGCACAAAGAATTCCTTGAAAGCATTTTAAACAAAAACACTTGAAATCCCAGAAGAGTGAGCAAATATTTTTAAAATGGAAAAAACTAAAATATGGGAAACTCTGAAGCTTAAACTTTCACCTACCAATACAATTGTTTAAGGGACAGTAATCCTGTATCTTCCTTCATAATCTGCATATCAAGTCAATTTATGGAGAATTGTTGAGCATCCCTTTATTTTCAGGAGGTGAAATGTAGAAAGATGCTTTCTCACACTTAGAATATGTAAACAGTTTGATTATTCAGTCTATCTTGTGATGTATTGAACTACTCAATGACCAAGAATTGCCCCGCACAGGATGCCAAATGTAATAACTCTGGATTCATTTATTATCCTTAACATTTTCGTGAGAATGAAAAGGAAAGTTTGAAAAGCAAACTATCTTGTATTCAGAGGACCATTACTTTGCAAGTGAGTGCCATGTTAACAAGAGAAGCTGTCTTGTAAAATAGCCATTTTCTCAGGGCAAATAACTGTTTACGTCAGTGGGATATAAAGCATTCACATCTGATTCCTTTTACCACATGTGTAACTTCTGTGGAACGGGAACGTGAATTGTTCACGGCTGTTAAACTTTATAATTGGAAGGCTGTATTAAATTCTTCCTAATGATGCCTACAGCTCTATGATGGTTTACAAAAGGAAAGGCTAGGGGAATAAAACATCTCACCTTTTGCAATGACTGCTTTGTGGCTCCCGAATTCTGTATATCAGGGCTTTTGCAAAAGCAAATGAAGACCTGTCACTGATGTCATACACGATAACAAACCCATCCGCCCAATGAAGCTCACTTGTGAGGGACACTTTTTTTTTCTGTGACTGAGAAAATAAAAGGGCATTTAAAATTTGGGGAACTGGCACGAGTAGTTTACACTTTAAATAGTTCATTAATGTAGACATGAATTTTTTTTAATGTTCAATTTCTTTCTTACTGCCTTTTTTCTTTAGTTAAAAGACTGAAAGTTGCAATATAAAAAGGAAGAACAATAAAGTTTGATGTACCACATTTCACAAACTTTCTATAAGAAAATAACTAGTTTTCTGAAAACTGGTATGACAAAATGTTTTTTAAATTAATAATGACATATGTGTTTTGAAAGAAAACTTTTCTATTTATGTATTAAATGGAATATCTACTAACTTTCATATTAGGTTTGAATTCATAAAAGTAAAAATATTACCAAGGTTTAGCCAAAGATTTTTTTTAAAAAACTGTTCTAGAAAGCTGACTGACGGAGACAGGAGCTCTCTAGTTCAGGCTTGCTTCAAACTTAGTATTTGGCCTTGAATTGCCATCCTCTTACCTCAGCCTCCTGAGTGTTGGGACTACAGGCATGGTCCAATGTACCCTGCTCTGTTTTGAAATCTTAAACAATTAACAATCTTTCTCTACCTTATATAATCTTACTTTAATTATCGTAATATTTTGATTGAACACAGAGGTTTGTACTCAAGATTTATCTTAATTATTCTCTTTTGACAACTAAGTACTACAAGTCACTGAACAAATAACCTGAGTTGACAAGCCTTTAAACTGTTAATTTTTGACAGCTATACTATGGCCTGATAGAAATGCAATATAAGTGATAATGTTGATATTTTAATGATAGTTATGAATATTTTGGCATAAATTTACAGAAAAGTCAGATAGCAGCATTTACAGCACTAAAAGTAATCTCTGAAAATTTTAATAATTACACTTGAAAAGAAAATTCAGTTTTAACACTAGCAATGTTTTACTTGCCCTTATCAAATCTTCTTTAAATCATAACTGAGTAAATAAAATATAATAAAAGGATGTTTTTGTAACTTACTTGAGAACATGGATCATAGATTTCCAGATTGATTTGTTTCCCTTCCAAACACAAATGCTTATTATAGATAGATTCTACAAAAAAAGGAAAATGTATATTCATCATTCATATGGAAAAAAATCTAGAATAAAAAATGTAATGTACCCATATGTTACCATAGCCAATTCAACCGGTCATATGTTAGTGTGACGGTAAGAGACTGCTCTTCTTGGCTAGTGACCAAAGCCATGTACATGTTGTATTTCTTCAGATAAGCTTCTCACAAATGAATTTTGCCACTGTGTCTGTTCATGCTTTACCATGGATGAAGTACCTGTGTTCCTATCTATGGACCATCAATTTTCTCCCAACTGGTAATGGCTTCCTCCAACCTACTGAAAAACATTACTCCACTAATACTACCTCTGTCTTTGCTATATCATGAATTTATCCTTATTCAATGTTTCCTTACCAGCATTTTACAAATATGTCACATTTTTTTTCTAACTTACCTACTGTTACACTCAGTGGTCGGTTCTATGTCTTGTTCTTATTTATCTTATTGGTAACAGTAATGTCGTTGATCATTCCTGCTTCCTTAAATATGTGGCTTTGCATATCCCATGTTCTCCTGTTTGGTTTGTTGTTGTTGTTGTTGTTCTTTTATCCCTACCACTTCAATTTGTTAATTCACAACCCATACCTTCACACACTCAGAACATAGATCCCATCCATAGATCTCTAGTCTTTCCGTATCCCTTCCCTGACCTCACCAGCTCCATGCCTTTACAGACCAATCATTTCTGATTAATCCAACTTATACCCTTAACCAAGACCACTTCCCTGGACTCCAGACAGACAACTACTCACCATTGGAAATATCCATTCAGATATGTGACGGACACATCAGTCTTACAACAGTTAAAACTGGATCCCACCTGCCCGCAAAAGCTTCATCTTCCATAGACTACTTATTTAAATGACATATGGATAGATTCAACTTTTCAGGTAAAAAGCTTTAATATCTTCCATGATTCTTTCCCTTGTACCAGCATTTATTCTAATAAAAATTCATTTTCATGCTCCCTTTAAAGTGTATTTTTCATTTGTCCACATCTCTCTATCTCCATTGCCAGCACTATAGTCCAAGTCACCATATTTCCTGCCTAAAAACCTGCTTTGAGTCTTCCCATTCCTTTCTTTCCCTACTCTTTTCTCAGTGGAGAACTAGCATACACTTTGTAGCCAAATTAGATACTTCTTGTCTAAGAAAATTGCTCCAATCACTCCCCATCTCTAATGGATGAAACCAAAATCTTTAAATGTCTGAAAAGGTCCCTCATTATCTAACTCCCATCACTTCAATAACCTCTGCAGATCTCTCCGGCTTATATTTCACAGTCTCTTCATTCCATCTACACTGCCGTCCTAATCATTCTTTAATTTTATAAGAAATTTGCTAGCACAAAGCTTTGACAATTATTCAAGAGGCTGCTAGGGATATGAAATCAAGACCCGTGCTGGCCAGTAATCTGTAACCAATAGGAGAAATCTAGAGCAAGTATTTGGTGAGTTCATGTTTCCCAGAGGGTTAAGGATGACTTTTAAAATCTTTTAGATTACATTGAATAAAATCTGTTGTAGTTTGATAAAATCTTAGATTACATTTTTAGAGCATTTCTTCTAAACTTTATAGCTTTGTTATTGACTCTCAACCATAAAATCTCCTTCTATTCATTAAAAGCAACCACCACAAGACTCAAAAAACTGCTGCAAGGATCCTCAACTGCCAAACTTTTAAAAAATGTTATTTCCCCCTCTAGCCTTCATTCACAAAATGGAGTTGTGTTTGCTAGTTTGTTTTCATAGAGTCAGTGACCTTTGGATCATTTTATTATCTTTTCAAAATATCTCTAGGTCTTAATATTTTTTTCACTGAGATGTAACAGCTAGAAGTGTATAAACATTTCATTTGTTTATAACTAGATTGTATAAAAGATTAAGGTGAAGGTTGTCGTTATTGCTATTATTGTTGAGATATTGCATTTCTTATTTATGTTTCATTTCATTTGTAGTTAGGAACATTTTCTAATGCCTGAGTCTTAACTCATGTGTTATGCTGACCCCGTCACTGAGGTTTTTGCCCCCAGAAATGAAACACTAGGAATTTCTCTTTTCATATATTTTACTTTCCATAATCAGTTTTCAAGTGCTTGTTCGAAAGTGTTCACAAATGTCATTTGGACTGAAATACTATGTCAGATACATGCAGGAAACAACACAATAGAATAAAATAAAAATTATTTTCAGAGATGATCTTACTGTGCTACTTCATGGAAAAATGTTAAAGATGTATTTCTCCTTTTTCTTTCATAGTAAAACACTTGCAGACATTAATTTTTTACTTGAAATAAGTAATATTGAGTGCAAAATTATTCTTTCACCCAAATCTCATATTTGCTATAATTATGTCATTCTTTTTTTAAAGAAAAAATGGTGTATCACCAAGCCAATGATCAGAAAAAAATATCTATACTGTAATATTGATTAGCAACCAAAAAAATACTTAAAATTGTGACAAAATACCTCACTTATTGTGCTGTGACTTCTCGCATATAACAAACTAATTCTTATCAAAATAAGACAAAATTTACAACAAAGTTAATGAAATGATTCAAAGATGACAGTATAGTGCTCTACCACATGTTTTAGAAGTTCTCTGAAATTTATAAATCAAGCTAGATAATTTTATTAAGTTAAAAAATAGATTCTAATAAAATGCTCCTATGATTTTAATTGGGCTTTCATTATGATGTTGAAATTTTAAGATAGAAAAAGTCTAAAGTAATAACTTACCAAAATTAGAAGCATACTCTCCAATGAATCGTTTGGTAAGAAACCTTACTGTAAGGGCTAAAAACAAGTAAAATTTAAGGTTTGTTGTATTTTGGGATGCATACAGTTTAATTACATAAGAGCTTCTTCAATTCAAGAATCACCAAACATTCATGAAAACTTTAAAATTTTACTAAATCCTGGTCTAAATTATAGTAAGCAATGTTTCCATGGTGATTTCAACCATAATGATTATGAAGATAGAAAAATATGATACCTAGAGTTCTACACATTTATATCATGGAATTGAGTCATGAATGCAAACACATAGGGTACCTTAAGCATTATAAAGCCAGCATTTCTCTTTACATTTAAAATGCACAACTATTACATCTTTTGTTTCCTCTATCAAATTAAATACGGCTCCAAAGTACTATCAGCAAGAGTGACAAGGACCTCCAGAGTCTGGCAAGTTACTAGGCTATTATTCATTAGGCTAACAGCTTTGTTGGAGAGATCCTCACCACCATTAGGATAGGAAAGCAAAGTAGAAGAAAACCTAGCCAAACTGAACCATGGCCTCCAAAATTAGAGCACATGTAGTTCACTGTGCAAGATCTCCATGCATCATCTGTCTAAAGAGCAGAAAATAATCCTTTTAAAGCCATTGTTTGGCCTTTGGCCACTGGTGGCTGTCAGGGTAGGTATATTGAAGAGAGAAGTAAATGGGATGATGATGAAGAAGAAGACATTTTCTATTATTTCTTCTAACTCTAAGCATCATAGAGGAGTGAAAGGGAAGTAAAAAGAATGAAGATATGTTATATATATGTTGCACCCCCCCATGATGAATGTAATCATTAAGTACTACAAACATGTACTACATACTAAGAATTAAAATTAAAAAAGCATCAGTAGAACAAGATATCAATTAATATTTTGGTCGTCTTGCTATCCCTACATTTATAAATAAATTAAAATTTTCAATAGAATTGAAAGTTTCTGCTGAAAACTAATGTTCCTCTCATCCCAGATGAATTCTTGAGTATATGTAGTTATATATGGTTATTATTTAACATGTCAATATCTCGCACTCATTTTACACTATGACCTCTGAGAGAAAATGTTACCACTCACCAGACTTCCCGGTGCCTTCACCACCCAATACAGCAATCTTTACTTCATTCATTTTGCTTTTCTTGTCCTTCAAATCAGTCCAGTTTTCTGGAACTATACAGACTTAAATAAAAGATGTGAGTTTTTTTTAACTTCCTTTTCTATTGCTGATCTTATTTTTCTAAGACAAACTCCTCCCCATATTTCTAATAATAACTTCCAAAAATGTTTTCCTACAGAAGCTTTCAATATGTTCTATTTTTTTAAATGGGAGTTACTTTTTAGACACTAAGTTTTATTAAACCAATAAATATGCACTTTAAAAAGGATATGTGCTCCCAATTCTATGTTTTGTGGACCTGGAATTTACCTTTTCCCAAGACCCAGAAAAGCTGATCTCTTTTCATTTAGAACATTTTTAGAGGATGCGAAAACATCTCTGCAAAATTACATTGACTGACTAGATCAGTATTAATACCTGAGCCTACATCTAGCATTTCTCCTGTGAAACTCAAGATAAAGTCCATTAATTCAATCATAGAATGAGGATAATAGAGCAAAGATGAACTCTAGGATTTCTGAATTAAGGCTTGATGGCAATGTAAATGAATAATCAGACTATGTTTTCAAATCCTATGAGATTCTCCAGAGGAAAACTGGCACTAGAGTTTGTAATGGCTTCTTTAAGAACTAATTTTTCATTTTAAAACATGTTATGCCAGTAGACAACTGTGAGATTTCTGACATAAGATACAGCGATCAATTCCATATTGTTTTAAAAGCAATAAACAGAAACCTGCCACATTTCCTCCTGTAATACTTTGAAATTAGGGAGAAAAAAGGAAAGAAAATTTGGAGGAAATATTCTGGCATAATGTATTCCATCACGCAATGAAAATATAAATTTAATATGCTAAATGATGAATCTGCCATATTTCTTTTCAATATTACTCAAAGCATCCCATTACTTTCTTCGTGTTATCTTTCCCCACTGGATACTTGGGCTATAGCAGACAGAATTCAAGCTGTTTAAATACTGAGGCCCGGGTGAAAGAGTTTATTTAACAAACATTTATTTGCCACTATATTTTGAATTTATTTAGATTTTTTTTACTCTATTTCAAATTCTAAAATGATAAAAATATAAGCTCTTTAATTTATGCAACTACATTAAAATAAATACAATGATTCTTTTACTATTAAATATTGTAACTGATTACACATGGAATTGAATTTGTCTACTTGGAGAAACATTACTATCTTTTTAAGAACTGATTGATGTTTTTAGGAAATTAAGTGTATCTGTTATCGGGTAGCCTGCTCTAAAAAGTGGTTTTCCATAAACGTTACTGGGTCCTGGGTTGCTCGCCTCTCCTTCTGGAGTTGTATGGCAGGTTCTCTTCTCAAACAGAGCTGAACCAAACAAACAAAAAGCAATGGCAAAGTTTACTGGAGAAAGTAAAAGTAAAAAGGGAGAAACTGGCTCTGCAGAGAGAATTTCGGCAGAGTAAAAGGAGAGAAAAGCAATACAAGGACACCTTAGGGAAAGCAAGGAAAGTTACACTGAAGAAAGCCATAACAACAAGCTGTTCTGGGCTCGCGTCTCTTTTTATGCTGTCCAAATCTCCAACGGTGAGAACTTCTACATCCGGGTCCTGAGAGGCGGTGCTGATTTTCCACTCCTCAGGCTCAGAGGTCAGATCTAGGAGTCCTAGCAAGAAGCATACACTCAGGGCTTCGGGAACGGTTCTGGGCATGTGTCCGGGCTCTTGTAATTAACAGGTCACCCCAGTTCCCCAGCTACTATTACCAAGCCCTACTCTCCTATGTCGCATCTACTGATAGGAACGAAAGACTTAACTTCATTACATACTTGATATGAAAACCACAGAAATTGTTGTTTCCCAGAGACAGATTTTTTTCTTAATCTTCTTCCTTCCTATTTACATTTGGATTTTCAAAAAGTAGCTTTAATAAGAAAGCAACCTACTACTGGAAGAGAGTGAATTTATAAACCTGAATAAGAGGAACAAAATCATGCACACAGATTTTTAAGAACGAAAAAAAGCGATTTTTAGGGGAATGAGCTACTTTACAAAGAATACTAAAAAATCAATATTCTGACAGGCACAGTAGTATACTATGTAAAATTTTCTCACATTATCCCAGAGAAACATCCATTCACAATCAAAACAAAATCTATTATTCCTTTTGTTGTTTATTCAGCAACCCAAATTTATTTAGATTTCTGCTATGGTGTTAGTACTCTTTCAGGAGTAGGAAACAAATCAGTTAACAAACAGGAGAAATATTTGTGAAGCTTATATTTTAGTCATCAGAATATGTCCATTAAACAGTAAAAAATAGACAGTTACTTATCAGGTGTTCATAATGCTACAATTTTAACTGTTTACTTTTGTTTCTTCTGAGGTCAATTCCATCAGTCTTTCTCAGCTAATCTCATTTCCTTGTACGTCCAAGTAGAACAAAATAGTAGAACTTCTGATTCGGAAGAGTGCTGTCATCGGGTCAAATCTTCAAGGAACAAATGCTATCTTTATTTAAATACTTTCAAGAATCTTGAAAAGATGGAACACTTACTGTCATGGTTTATATTTAAGATGCCCCCCCGAAGCCTCATCTTTTTCCAGATGGAGCTTTTGGGAGGTGACAGTGGATTAGTCCAGTGATTGGTCTACCATTGTTATGAGTATGATCAAGTGGATTTACTAAAGAGAGAAGACCAAGTGTGGGCTTGGGTGTAGGTGGTACCAAACCAGGGGTAAACATCTATAGAATGTTTCTTCCCTGGACAGACAGGGAAAAAGGAGACAATCTTTGGTTATTTCAGGGTATGAAATTCCCAGTCGTTGACATGAAAGATAGAGAAATAGCATCTATAGGTAAGAGGAGACAAAACGGTCACAATTTGAAAATGGCATCTCCTTCAGTTATTTTATCTACATTATTACCATAGATAACATCATTCAGTAAGGCAACCAGATAAAAGATAAACATCAAAAGCAGTAATTATAAATAACGATAACTAACACATTTTAACCCTTCATATATAATAAGCAATTTTAAGAATTTATTTCAGGTGTATCATTTGTCTCATTATTAACTTGTAAATTAGTAGAAATATACCTTTCAAAAAGAAAGAAGTTGGAGGAAGTCAGGAAATGAAGGAATAGAAAAAAAGCAAGGGAGGGAGGGAATGAGGGAAGAAAGGAAGGATAAAAGGCAAGGGGAAAAAGATTTCCTGGGAGAAAAAGAGAGAAGAAAGAAAAGAGAAGCTAGGAAGAAAGGAGAGTAAGAAAATGCAGCAAAAATATTAAACTGAAAAGGAATGTGTAATATTTATATAAACAATTCTGTAACCCCTACTAAACTAATCTAAAAGTCTAATGTAATGTCACCTCAAACCCAACTAAGATGGTTTGCATTGAATGTGGACAGCCTGTTTCAAAAGAGAAAATACGCATGAATACGTAAAAAACATTGTGAGAAAAAAAGACAAGATGAAATAATAAGAAGTTAAAATACCTCTTAGCCAAATCATATTAAAATAATTAAATATCATTTTATTATAAGTAGATCTATATATTCATCAATAGAATAAATTGTGATTATAGAAAGTGAGTATGTAGAAATATTTTATTGCAAATATATAGTTTGAAACGTGCTACTTTTAAATAATGTCAATACTAGTAGAACAAATCTATAGATAAATAAGTTATGTCTAGACCTCAAACCAAGTGGGAAAATAAATTAGAAATATTAAAACTCTTACTGAAAAACTAGAAAAGGTGCAAGATAATCATATATGAGTATCTTCCAAATACTCTAAACAAATCTAAAAGCATGAGTACAAATATTGACAGAAAATAACAATACCAAGCATCTATTAATAGAACTCTAAGTCTTGGTTGTGTTGGTCTCAAGAGAGTGTCGAGTGTATGTATTTGTAAACTTGTAAAAAATGAATATTTATACAAAAGTGGATCTTTTTCCATCTGCATTGAGGTATTTGTTCACCTCTAATTACTGTATAATCCACAGTACTAAAGGGATTGAAAATCTAAGAAAAAATATTTTTGAGACATACTTGTACTTATTTCTGAATACTTTTAGGTAATAATGTGAAAATTCATCTGAAGAATAACATTTTTTTCTAAAGAAGAAAGTGGTTTCCTAATTCCATAAAACAAGTTTTCAAGAGTCTAACTGATTTAAACTGTGAGTGGTCAGGCATTTGCACATTATGTTGGAATTAGGCAAGGGATCTAGGGAAAAATTTTTAGAGAGAAAAAAAATTTTTGATTGCCAAGTTCTGCTTGTCTTCTGCTCTCGAGGCATTTATGCAATGTGTTAGGGCATAAATAGCATAGCGAATGTTCTTAGTGAAGATGAGAAGCGATTACTTCAAAACCGCAAATCCTTCAGAATCTCTTCTGAAGAAATTATTCAAGCCCAGACATCTACCTAACCTAAGATTGAAAATATTGTAATAATGGCTACTAAAATACAGACTTTTACAGCTCACAATCCGCTATGTTTTGGCTAAAATATACGAATCCTAAAACTAATAATTGCTTAGCCCATTGCTCCTATCTGACATTTCTGTTGTTACAAACAACATCAGCTTCCCTCTCTGCACTTCCTGTTATGGATGTGATTATTTTTATCTGAGTAAGTATATAAAACCATTTACTGCCTAATAAAAGTTCTTCCCACGTTATTTGGTAAGGGAAGACTATTTTTAGGGTCTATAGCTATTCACGGCAATTGTTTTCGTCTTACTGCTACTTGGCAGTCTGCTCAAATTCAATCACTGCTGAAGACTAAAAAATCAACCTACTGCGCTGACTTTAGCTCCCCTTTTTCTTTTCATGTCTTTTTTTTTTTTTTGCTTCTCCTCTGCCTTTGCTTCCCACTCTCTTCGTCTCCTTTCTTCCTTTTTCATTCACTCCCTCTCTCCTTTCCTTCATTTGCCTTCCTCTCTTCTTCCCATCCTCTGTACATTGTTTTGTTCCTTTCTTCCTATATATGCACACTTTTAGGAGTGTTTTTCCTTCATTGATGTTATGCTAACCATGCTGTTTCTAATTAATTTTACAGTGTTTCCTTCATAAACATCATTTATTTGTTTACTTACTTATTTATTGTTCTGGTGCTCATTCAGTCTCCTAAATGTGAAGAATCCTGCTTTTTTAGAGTTTTACAAAGTTTTCTTGCCTTTCGATGTTTGTTCATATCTGCTTGCTGTATTCTGCCTGTCTGAACTTCTCAGTATGGGACTTTGTGCCTACAAGATTGATTCCCAGTAACTGACTTTTTCTTTTTTTTTCTTTTATCAAGCTACTCTATATCTTTTAAATTTACCTTTTATGGATGATATCTATACATATGCAAAGAATATTTATATATTTGTATAGTTACATAAAATACACTTACTTTTCAATTTTTAGATATACTTACTTTTCAGATATGTAATATTTATATTCATACAAAATACTTAAACTTCAGAGTTCTTTCTTGTTTAAAAATTTCACATTTCTTATTTTACACATTTGCATATGTTAATTTCCATTTAGAGAAAAAGATAAAGTGTGACACATTCTGTCATGAAATTTGCAACTCTACCTAATTCCCTTAATAATTAACTTCATAGTCAGTTTGGTTTTAACACAATATAATACACCATACGGCATATGATTTTTATTAGGTAATATATATCTCTATATGTTTTATTATGTGATATATATCTATATAATTTACAATTGGACAAGATAGAGCTGTTTATATCATTCTCAAGTAATTTGAAAAGTAAGTTGACAATCATTAATAGAACTGACCTAGGAAAGGTAATACCGTCATTATCCTAACTACTTTTAGAACATGCTTTGGAAGATAATTTTTATGCGGAAACCATATTCTAAAGAGATATCTTATTCAATATGTAATACTAGTACTTAACTACATTATATGGGCTTTCTTTCTATTTTTTGCAAAGAAAAAATGATGAATAGCTCACCAATTTTCAAAGGTTTTCAAAGAATATCAGAGTAAATAGTGGAATGGCTGTGCTAATTTTTCTCATGTATTCTTATAATTCCATTTATCTTTTCAAAGTAACGATCCTGTGTTTATCTTACTTTTAAATTACTTTTGAATTGTTTATTGTTTCGTAGTTTTCCTCTATCTTTATAATAGCTGAGATGGGATAATAGCTAGTGGCAATTACAACTCAGCTTATCATTCTTTGCGCCAATTTTTCTGTGGACTCTGTGATTTTATTTCTAGCACATTTAATTTTTATGAAAACTAAGCTAAAATCTTAGCTTGTTCTAGCTAAAGAAACTGCTGTAGTGACAGTGTTGAAGTGACCATGGTCTTAAAAATGGGCTTCCTTCTCTGTTGCAGCTGCTGTAACAAAAGGTTTGAGTGTGTAATATCAGTTAGTACAAGTTCTGCAAGAATATGGTAAAAATCCTGAACAATATGAATGTAACTAGGATATTTTACTTGTATTTTTCCTCCTTTTATTATATTTTAGAAACAAAAATTCAAAATTAAATGCCTGGTATTAAATTCACTATAGTTTGGATATCACATTCCCTTCAAAGGCTTGTGGGTTAATTTGGTCCCCAGCTTGGTGCTGTTGGAAGGTGGTAGAACTTTTAAGAGGTGGGTCCTAGAAGAAGGAAGTTAGGTCCCTGGGGGTGTACTCTTGAGGAGCTTGTGGGACCATGAACTCCTCCTGTCTAGTGATGTGAGCACTTAACTCCACTATGTACTTTTTGACATTACTATTAGGCCTCTACAAGAGGCCCAGGGTGATGAGTCTGTCTGACTTAAGACCAGAATTCCAGATCCGTGAACTAAATACATTTTCTCTTACAAATTAATTCTCTGTGATGTAAAGCTAACACAAAAACACTGCCCTACAAACACATAGGGTTTATGAATAAAGAACTGTGATTTTTTTCTAAGCCTGTTACATGTAGACCTTAGTAGATACAACAATTCAAAGAAAGTTTACTTGCTCATATAAAATTTCAAATAGATGTTCCTGATAAGTAAAAGTTCTCATCCAATATCTTTAGTGACTTGTTTCTCAAAAGCTCACATCAGGATTAAAGTGGCCAGCTTTCCTATCCCTGGGACAGAATACTAAACAGCCATGTCTTATTTTTCATAGCTGAGACCAAATACCCAATACCCACAGGTTAGAGAAGGAAAGATTTATTTTAGCTCACAATTTGTATGGGTTTCAATCCATAGTCAGCTGGCTCCAAGGAGGTCAGTACAGCAGAGGGTCATTATAGAGAAACAGTCCATGGCAGGCCAAGCAGAAAGCAACAAGCAGTGAAGTCACAAGCCTGCCTTCTTTCTCCCCTTTACATTCCATCTAGGCTACAAGTCTATTGGTTGGTGCCACCCAGACCCAGGGTGGGGCTTCCCACTCTCTTAATTCCATTATCACACCCTTAGTCCACACTGACACACCTTAGTCCAGCCACCCATGACCCCATGAGGCTTTGATGTGTCGTCTGTAGATAAGCCGTAACAACCCACAACTTTTAAAAAGAGAAGTTTATTTTGACTCAAAGTTTCAAAGTGTTCATTACACAATTGGTTGGCTCCAAAGCAGACCAAGCATGGCAGAGGGCATGATAGGAAAAAAAAAATCTGCTTAACTCACAGCAGCTAAGGAATAAAGAGAGAAAGAAGGAGCCAAGGAGAATAATACACCCTTCCAGAGCAAGCCCCAGTAAACCACTTCTACCAACAAGGTCATACCTCCCAACTCATGAGACTCAGGGAGATTTTGGATCAAAAGAATAACCTTCTGCTTCTGACCCCCAGAGGGCCCATCTGCATCTCTCTATGCAAAATGCATTCAGTCCAACTGCAAGAATCACCAAAGTCTTAATAGTTTGAGCATTCCTAGAAAGTCCAAATCTAAAGTCTCCTCTAAGATTCAAAGCAAGCTTTTACCTGTGAGCCCCTGTAAAAGTAAAAACAAAATGTTAAATGCTTCCAGCATAAAACAGCAGAGGATAAACATTTCCACTCCAAAAGAGAGGAATAGAAAGAGAGAGAGAGAGAGAGAGAGAGAGAGAAACCTGGACCAAAATCAGAACAACAACAAAAAACCATCAGAACAAACACTATAGCTAGCTCCATATCTAGTAGTGGGATGAGAGCCCCACAGAACTAAGAAAACCTTGCCCCTGTGGTCTCCCTGGTTGCAGCCCTATAGGCTCTGTCTTCAGCAGCCTCCATTCACTGCCTGCAGTTGCCCTCAGCAGATAATTCATACTCCTGGTATCTTCAGCTTCCTCAGATCTCCTCTCTACTGCTGCCTTCACTCTCATAGCTTTGTGCATCACCCTCTAAGGGGCTCCTGTCAGGGGCTGTGATGCTGTCACGTATTTTTGCCTGGACCCTTAGACTTACTTCTGAAATCTGGATGGGAGCCTATAGGACCCCAAAACTTGCATTTTTCACTAGCACCATATGAACGATATCCAGATCTGCTGCCAGCCTCCTTGGGCCGTGCCTGTGCCCACTTCTCAGTACCCAGGGGGTGAACTCAGGAAACTTCTTTCCTAGATGGCTCTGGATAAGCAGGGAACCCTGGGAGTCTCTTACAGCAAAGTCTTTCCGAGGGGTATGGTTTTTCACACAAGTGAGCTTGTAATTGCTTCGATCTGGCAATTTCCCTATATGTCTTCAATGCATCTTCTCTGTTGCCCTGATACAATGGTTTGGTTTTAATGCAATTTTTTTTTTTACCACCCATGTTCTCTTTTGCCTTCCAATTTTTTATGTCTTGTAAGGGTTTTGTGTTTTGCATCTGATGCTTACTTCAGGCATTGGAAAGTAGACCTTAGATCGTTTGGAATTTTTGAAAATATATGAAATAAAATATTCCTGTGAACAAATTTGCAACCCTTTTAATAGCCATTATACATGATGATATCTAATTTCTTGGCCTTTGTATTGCAACTGAGATGGGATTTGAAGTATGTAGCCTAGAAGAGCACTCTTAGTAGCTAAAAGTTAGACTGCCAGCTACAGTTTCTGTATCAGGTAATCCCAGTGATTTTTTTTTTCCTACTCTATCATGCTGACTCTTGGTTTTAGTTTTAGTATGTCTCAGCTCAAAGCAAAATAATTTCATTTTAAATATTTATTCAACATGTTATGTTTATCAGCTTTAGGGCTCTATAACAAGACACAAAATTCTGCAGAAATCAAAATTAAAAACAAGTTATATTGCTGTAATACTTAGGCATTCCAGTTGTCCTCTGTTGATTGTTAACTGACTAACTTTTAGTGCACAAAACCATGATTGCTTCCTGGATTTTCACTTAAATAGCTGGTGAGATGTATACAGTCAAGTTATTGTTATAACTTGTATTACAGATAAATCCTATGTCTCTGATAAAATTCAGTTATTTATTTATCTAAGCAAAGACTTTTCTCTGTCATCTAAGAATTAAATTCTTCCCAAAGGAACTTCAGCTGAGAACAAAAAGCTTCTCATGAGAATCTGAAGCAGTATTTCTTTTTTAAAAATGTGTGCAATCCCATGCTCTTTATTCTTAGACATGTTTTTCCTAGCTTGGTGATTGCAGAATTTGATTATCTTCTTCCATATAGATTAAATAGATTGATAGCTTGTTTCAGGAATCTTTGAAAATATACTCAAAAACGTGTATTGGATTAAATTGGCAATTGTTTTTCCCCAAAATGAATGCTGTTTATACATGCCAGCACCTTAATTTATTTTCTTCCCTATAAGGAAACATTCTTTAAATTCATTTTTGCAACTAGCCTTGCTCCTAAGTGCTTGGATTTATTCCCCGGGGTCCCTGTCGACCAGATTGAATACTGTGAGTGGCCATTTGGGGAATTAGATTTGGGCTGTCATCCTCCACTGGATTTTGTCTGGAGAGTCTAGTTACCCAACAGGACTCCCCTCTGTGATTGGATTACATACACCAATCTCCACACCAATCAAGCACACCCTTCAGTCCTAGGTGCTCTGTGTCTAAGTTGGCCTCATTATCAAGTGTTTAATAATCCAATCAAATCTTGCTCAATGGGGTTGGATTAATACAGGGAGACAAAGAATGTTCCAAGATGTTTAGGATGACTACGGATGGTGGTGAATAAGAGGATATGTGTGGGACAAGTGATGTGTGGGCAATTTGGAGATACATTTGTACAATTTTGCTTGCAGAAACAGAATAGGTTAAAGATGATGAAAAGTTTTCAGCAATAAAATACTAAGACAAGAACTGCCTTATTAACAGGAATTGGGAAACTAGGTGAAACAGATCATTTTGATTCCAACATTTTTATGTTTGATTATAAGATTACATGAGGAAGATATTAACACAGAGAAAACAATAATGCAGTGTAAAAAATTTGATTATTTAATTCATTTACATGAACTAAAAAGAGACAAGATTCCATTTATCTATGGTCATAAACATTATATGACAAAATTATTGAAGCAAATATTTCAATTGTAGTAAATAAACCACTTTATATGGGGACCAATGTGGGAAAGTTTAGATTCTGTCTTTTAAGCATACGGTTGTCAATTAAATTCTATTAATACGTCCAAGTAACTGCGTGAAGTCGGACATTTTCTATAATGATCTCTGTGCCATGGATATTGCCTTTCCTCTACAATGCTAGAAAAAAAATTACCAATGGATAGTACCTAAGGGTTACACAAGCACTATGTGTTTGGGCCCTGGCCTTAATAGAAAGAAATAAACTGCTTCAAGAGCATTTGAACTGGCTGGATAGCTATTTGGGGGGAGCACATGTAAATTTCTTTCTGTTAGGAGAAAAAGTAGAATATTAGGTTAAACAATTATGTTTATGATGAAATAGACTCTGGCTTGCATTTCATTGATATACCTTAGTTTTAGAAAAATGAAAACAAGGTTGGATACAAATATGAACTAGTCTCTATTAACCCCTAAAGAGGATGCACTGTTTCTTTTGGGGGGGCCTTCTAACAGATCTATGCATTTACCTCATATTAAATAATAATCCCATGATCATGTATTGTCAACTGGCAAATCTACTCTTTACACAAGTCTGGGAATTAATATTAAACTATGTTTTTCTATAAAAGTATAATCACATTTATGGAATTTCCAGCATATTAGAATCCAGAATACATATGTTTCAGCTAGTTGACATTCTGTAAGTCACTAGTTGAGAATTTGAATACATTTGAATATCAGTCAGGGAACATAAATAGGTAAAATGTCAAAAAATGGGCAGAAATAAACAGAAGGAAATTCTGAACATGCCCAGTCCACCTAAGGAGTTTAAATACCAAGTTGGGAAAAAACAAACTAAAATTTTCTGTTAAACCTGTGCTCTAAATAAGCAATTTTTAAAGCCTTTTTGTGAACGTGACTAGGGTTATATTTATTTTTGTGGATTTTAGCATGAACTAAGTAAGACATAATTTGGTGATGAGTTTAACTACTTTTGAATGTCTTTAAACATAAAAAAAATCAAGATTTATGTCATCAAAATATTTATTGGTTCAAATCCAGGACTGAAATATCTTACAGAGAAAAACCAAAAAAAGGAAACAAATACATTACCAAAAATAATGTTGAAAATAAATTATAAGACAAACTAAAAATAAAACAAATGGGAACAAAACAAATATACTTGTCCTGAAAAGAACCTGGGATAGCCTATATCACATTATGAGATTAAAAATATATTAAGTTTTGAAATCAATACAACTTTTAAACCTCATAATATTGTTGTAACTGTTTTTTCTAATTCCCAAAATTACATATTGTTATTATTATTTTTAATTTTCAGTCCAGAAGGTTTAAAGAGGGTATAAAGAAGCTATTTGGAGGCCACCAACCAACATTTCTGCAATCCTGTAGAGACACAAGGCCAACTCAATGTGACCCACAAGAAAAGGATAATGAAAAATGCCATCTCAGCCTTCTTCTCCTGTTGCCCTCCAACTTTCTATAGTGTGTCCAACTACAGCAACCCAACAAGAAGCTAAAAAGCAAGGAAGCACTTCAGCAGACTTCATCATAGCATTCCGGGGCACACAAAAAGTAGGAAAAACTGAAGGGGCAGAGAGGTAGCCAGCAATCCAGTGACATGGGTATGCCATAGTCACTGTAGGCTAAAGAGTATCTGGGATTCACGCTATCCGTAGGATACTTTTAAAACGTTTCTTTCAAAGGAGCATTTATAAAAAGAAGGAGCAGGAGAGAGAGGGTGGGGAGGGAGGTAGGGAGGGAGAGAAAGAAGTACTGATGTTACATCACAGGAAGTTTACTGGAAAT